CAGTTTCCAAATGAAACGTTTTGTTCTCCCTGCTTTCAAAATGCAGTTATTTCCGAATTTGCCTATTATTTTTTAAAAAGTGCTAAAAGAGAAGGGAAGAAAGGAAACAACTGCTTAATTTCATGCTAAGGCATTTGGTTGACTGAAAACAATTGCTCCCCGATTTGTTTGGTTTGGCCAACAAGCCCCAAAAATAAAACCAGTCATTTTCCCCAGCTCCAACGAAGACTAGCGCATAAATCATTCATAACCAGTGAACGCATGCTGAGAAGATGTTGCAAGCATGTTGCGCATATGAACATTACGTGTTCTGCGCGGCTATAAGCACCTCAGCCGATGATATTATACAGTGTTATAAGCATCACTCAGTCATTGGACTGGGTTACGAGTTGGGCCGTAAAACTCTTTAGCAACAGATAAACTGTTGATTAAAACAGCTTTTAATCCTTTGCAAAAGACCCCTCGGTGCAAAGCAGCACTGAAAGGCCGTTCTGCAACCCCCCGCGCGATGCTGGCTGTGATGCACGGCTTCCCGTATGCCCTTTTCTAGCCCGAGGACTGTGAGGGCACTGAAGGCAGGCCGGCTTTGCAACACGGCCAGCTTCACAGCCAGCTAGCCAGCCCCGGCGCGCAGCGGTAGTCCTTCCCCGTAGCCGCCAGGAGCGTGGCTCGGAGCGGTGCATCTCCAGCGCTGGGCTGGCTGCCATCGCTCACTCAATTCTGAAGCAGTGCTGAGAAGTGACCTCTCGAGCGTCTCGTGCAAGGGACTTGTGCCGCGCAGCCTGAACATGTTAATTAGCAGCAAATTGCGATGGTCTTGCTCCCCGGTGGCTAGAGGTCCTCCAAGAGTATGTCTGAGCTATTGCTAGTGACAGCTTTTTGGAGCATCTTGTTCAATCCCTGTGCTGGAATGACTGCTTTGGGAGCCAAGGCTTCTGGTCCAAATCCCATCAGGGATGAGGTTTTCTAGGTTTTTCTGATAGATGGAGAAGTCCCTTTATCCGATGCTAATCAAGAACTAAAGTAGGCTTGGCCTGCGATGCCTGTGGGGCACAGAGGCAAAGTGAAGGTTTTGTGAGACTGCCGTGGGCCTTAAGATCCCCGTTTCATGGCCTTAAGGCACGAACAAACCCCCTGATTTCCAAAGGTGCATGGGCCAAGTGGGTCCCAGTCCACTGCCTGTTGGTTTTTCTATTGACGTCTTTGGGGGGCAGTCGGACCCTTGCTATGTACTTGGGCGTCTAATCGTGGCAACATCAGCCTGGAGCTGCCGTGCCTCTTTTCTGCTGGCAGGTGCTCTTCCCAAAGGTGCAGCCACCTGCCTCTCTCGTTCTTGGCTGATGAAGCATGGGCAGTGGAGCAGCAAGTCCCGAGCCGGCCTGCGTTCCCTGCATCATTGAGGTTAGAAATGGAAAAGGCCTGTTTGTCCAGCCGCTCCACCTCCTAGCGCAGGAGCGTTGCACCACCTCCTCCTGCTCGATCAGGGCCTCTCTTAAATCAGGACACCTGACATCAACTGTCCACAGTTAATGCCCATCCCGGAGCGTAACTTTTCCATCCCGGTAAAACGCACACGCGGCACTGATTGCTTTCCGCTTGTGTTCCTGGCCTCTGCCGCTCTGCGGTTTTGTTGCTGGGTTTTTTTAAACGCCCCGAAGCCAGATTTATTTGCGAAACGTTGAAGCAAGCCCCCAAATTTTCTTTCCTGCTGGAAGCACTAGAATGAGAAAGTGGGTTTGTGTATTAGATGCTAAAAAAAGCCAGGGCTTATACAATTTTAACAATAGAAAAATGATCTTTGTGCTCCAGTGCGTGTGAGCTGGGAGGGAGAAGGCAGTTTGCTCAGGTGGCTGGTGAATTACAAATGAGTGGTTTGCTTTTGTTTTGAATGACAAGCAATTTAAATGCAGTCTTGTGTGGAGGCTTGGAAGCTTTTCCAGCAGGGGAGATGGAGGGGAAAAAAGCGCGAGAGCAAACCACCCTCTCTCCTTCACGTTGCGGTGCTGGGGCCAGGCGATGACGACCCAGTCAGGAGCTGGCGATTGGCATAATTGACGATGGCACCATTGCTAACAGCCCCGCTGCCAGGCCGGCGCGCTGGACGGTTGGGTTTCAGCTCCAAGTGCGGCACGGCGCTCAGAGCAGGACGCGCGGGCTCGGATGCAGCGGGGCGAGAATCAAGCCTTGACACGAACAAATTGCTCATTGTCTTTTTTCCAGCTCTGCTTTCGTTGCAAAGTCTGTCGGATTGTTTTTCCCCTCCGCTGTCGAAACCAGCCTGGCTTCAGGAGGAGATTCGGGAGAGGAGGCTTCCCTCCCCCACCCAGATAGACATTAATACGGGGGGGAGGGGTGTGCTTTATCCTCTCCTTCTCCTGGAACAAATTGAATTTCTTTTACAGTTGTGCAAGGGCTTTACAAAGCCTCTGAGCCTGGTACCCCACGCCACTCGGCCCCAGGGTTCGTGCGGAGCCGCGGCTCGGAGCGCCTGGCCCGAGCACTGAGACCGGGCGAGAGGCAGCAGGTCTCGATTCCCTGGTTCGTTAGTGCACGCGGACCGCGGGGGTGCCCCTGGGCGATGCAGTGGGGCATTGTCCTCCCTGCTTTGGAGTTCGCTTCCTCCCCTTCGGTTCTGGGCTGAACGTATGCTTTGCCCCCAGGCAGCACGCAGTCGGGTTGCCCACCTTCCTCAATGCCCCCGGAGGGCACTGGGGTCACGTAGCGGTGCTGCTGTCTGTGGGAGGCGCAGGGACAGAGCTCCCCGCTAAGTCTCCTGGGGGAATCGCTGAGCACCCAAGCAGGGCTAGGGCCAGCTTCGTGCCCTGGGTCTCGTGCCACCTGGAGGGACCAGTCTGGCCCGAGGCTGGGCGAGTGTCACCAGTGATGCATCCACGTGCTCAGTGGGACGATTGCACAGAGAGGCTCTTTGGAAGGAGGTATCGGCCACGTGGCCCAGCACTCACCCTGTCCGAGGGCGGGAAGGCGATGGTCGATGGTCGGGGAGCCGTCGCTGTCTGACACCCCCGAGCCACGGGCAAGTGCCAGTGGGCGCAGGGCGCACCGCGAGGCGGGGAACAAAGGGCTCTCTCGCCAGGATCAGGAGGCGAATGCTGAAAAATTAACGGGAGTGAATGATTCATGCTCATGAATGTTGGATGGGCTGTTGTGGCAGGATTAATATGTTGTCCTGTGATTAGTGCTGCAGTATGCCAGAGCCTCGTTACCTCTGCAGCCCCCGAGGGGTGCACGCTTCTGGCCATGGCAGCCTCACGGGAGGCCCTTTGGGTTGGGGAGACCCGCCGGAGGGGGAGCAGGGCCTGGCTGGCTGTCCCCCACCCCACCGTCACCTGCAGAGGGGCCGCAGCTAAGGCTGCCTGGGTGTGAGCCGGGCCCAGCCCAGCCAGCGGCCTTTGAGACACACGGAGGAATTCTTATTCCTTATTTAAGCTCCAGCATTAAATTATAATTTTCATTTACTCAGAGAGCATCAATGATTTATGGTGGCCTGACACGACAATGGTGGTAGGAATTTAGCCAAAGGCAAAGGAGGCCGGATGAGCACATCACAGTTACTTTGCTAAATGCCACATCTCCCTCCCTCCTCGAGACCCTGCTGGCACAGCCCAGCCCCGTGCCTGTCTAGGGGGTGTGGAAGAGTTTCAGGAGAATAGGTGCCAGGGCTGCGGCCAGGTAAATCCCGGTTGCTCTCACAGCAGAGTCCCAGCCTGCACGAGCTGCTTTGTGAGCCCGGTTCAGAGCCGCCTGGCATCGTGGAGCATGCACGGCCAGCGGGCACTCGTGGCACGGGGCGGGGAGTGGGAGAGCACCGCAGTCGGCTGTGACTTGTTGGACACGTGGTAGGTGATGCAGTATTTGCGTTGGCCGCCCTGGAAGGGGGTCGCCAAACCAGGGCTGGATGCCCGATCTCTTGAATGCCAGGGCCTCTCCGTGGTCCCTACTGGCCTCATCCGTATTGCCGGGGTAACACCGATTTAGTTCATTGTGTGAGCACTTCGGAGGAAGCTGCTGCACACATATACGGCAGCATTATTATTCGTTCTAGTAATTAGGCCCTATCCCAGGGCTTTTATACCGTGCGTGTAAGGATCTCCACTAGAAACAGCCGTTGTGGCCCTTAAGCAGTAAATATGCCATCGCTTCTTTTTCAACGCTGGTCAACTAGACAAGCCGGATGCCTGTGGGAGTGTCTGCCTGTGTGATCCAGCTGCATCTTTGGGGTTTCAACGCAAGGCGTGAGGAGATGACGTGCGATAACAAAACCACAAAGTGGAGACATGCAAACAAGACGTTTTATTGGGTCTGCGACTGATTTGACCCAGACAGCTTGAGAAACAGGAAAACGTCCGTCGTGCACCCTCAGCCTACCTTAGGCCTCCGTATGACTGCGCAGCCTGCAGAAGCTAAATGCTGCACGTAGCCGGGCTCTTACTGGCCCCCACGCAGGCTTCACCGGTCCCTTCTTCTTTCACTTGGGGTGCCGTTTCTTCCCTGCTCCCCTTTCCCCTCCTGCCATTGGTGCTGTGATGGGAAAAGCTTCCTCCGGTGCCCTGCAGGGGCTCAGACTCTGCGCTCCGCTGTTGTGAGGGCAAAGTCTGCGACGACCTCTCCGAAAAGTAATTCCTAGAGCCAGGGAAAAGCACGCACCAACATCATAACTGGTGATGAGAAGCGGTACCGAGCAGTACAGCCAAGGGGCACATGCCACAGTCCTGTTTCGTGGTGGCATGGTGGGGTGGCTGTGGTGGAGGGGCTGGCGGTGCAGAGCCAGCCGTGGTACAAAGCATGGAGGAGCCCAGCGGGGATGATTTGCTCCTTGTAGCTCGGCCTTGTGTCGGTGGCTCTAATGCCCTTGCTGCAGTTGGCACATGCAACGTGCTGCTCCAGGCCTACCCCTGCAGGGCAGCCGGGCCCCAAATGAACTCTCGTCATTAAGCCCCCGATTTCCTGCTTCCTCACCCTGTGCTTTTATTTCCCCTCAGGTGGTTGCACTCAGTAAAAGAAGCAAGGAGGCTGAGACGGCTTTCCTGAGCGTTTACAAGCAATTAATTGCAGCACCAGGTAAGGCAGGCTCTGGCTGCGTAGCTGAATAATGAATGGGGAGAGCAGGCGTCAGACCATCTGACAGAGGTCGGCCCACACCGCAAAGCTTCTGCAGCAAAGCTGTGTCAGCACCGGGTAGGCAAAGATCCCCCCCGCCCCCCGAGCAGCGCTAACCAAGCCACAGCGTGCACGGCTGTTGTCACCTTAGCCTGTCACTGGCAGGGGTGACATCCGCCAGCACGTGCCACCCTTGCACGAGGGGGCTCTGCAGTGGCTCGTGACGTAGACAGGCCCAGAAGCTACCATGGTGCCGTCGCTAGCAAGCATTGCGGCGTCAGCGTAGCCTCGTGCGCGGCGCCTCCCACCCTCTGTCCCCGGTGTCCCATCTCGGGTTGTCCGGGCGCTGGTTGCATTGCAATGCCTCTGGGCCACGGCGCTGCCATCGCCAGTGTTTGTTCTCCGTGCCTGGCGGCCTGGGTGGTGGGGACTCACTTGAGCATGTAACTCTGGAAATACCAGCCGAATAGACAAGTGGAAACAGCTTTTGCCATAGCCGTGTTTCAGCGCAAGAGGCAAATGCATCCTGACATTAGAAAAGGAATACATTTGCTCGAGCCTTGTAATAACACTGCGGCTATCCCCAGTTGCCTTCCCGACGGTGAGTTAGGTAAACCGACTGAGCTCCATTTGCAGCCATTTAGGTCTGATGTCTATTTTTTTTTTTAAATATGCGTGGGTACATGCCCCGTGCCCGCGCCCTCGCGCTGCCTGCACCTCGCTGTGCGTGTCTGAGCCACTGCTGACCTCCAGGTTTACGCACCCCAAGAGCAGCTTGTCCTGAGGGCAGGATAAGCTCTCGGCCGCTGTGCTACAGCAGCACTTCCCAGCACGGGTCCACGTTGTGCTGTGCACGCAGCAGGGTAGGAGCCCCGGGGACCACAGCCCCTTCGCGTGCTTGGCACATCGCTGGGTGTGTCTAATATGCAAGCGAGCCATCCTCGCTTGTCGTACTCTCGCTGAGGCTCCCCCGGGGCAGCTCTGCTGGCAGCCGGGTCCTCTGCCAGGGGCTGGGCTGGGATTTGGGAGCCCAGTTCTGATCCCAGCCCCATTGCTGACCTCCCAGCTGACCTGGCAGGGGTGGGCCAGTCTGGGCCTGCGTCAGTAAGGCCCAAACCAGGTCGTGGCTCCAGCATTTGGGATCCACCAGCACCCCCAGTCTTAGCTGTGACACGCCCGATGCCCCAGCCCAGGGCTGCCCCGGACTGTGGACCCACCCTCCCATCGCCCCACCCCAGGGCTCGGAGCCGTGCGCCCGGCCCGCTGGCCCACGCTGTCTCTGCTGCCCATGGGGAGCGCAGAAGACATCGCCCCCCCTTCTTTTAATTGAACACCATCTCATTAATAGACAGTCCCGCTTCTCCCATCATTCGCTTTGCTCTAGCCCTCCCCGATGCCACAACTGACAGGCTGGAGCATCTCCCGGTACCAGCGTAGCACGGAGCCAGCCGCGCTGTCAACAAGTCTGAGGATGAAGAGCTTCTAACTGCTGAAGATGTGCAGGAGGGCTCCTACAGGGGCACTAATTCATTTTCCAGACATTTAGGAATAACAAAATGTTTTAATGATTTCTTAGGGGAATTAGGGAGACATATTTTTGTCCTCATTAAATTTTATCCTGCAATACAAGAACCAAATGTCAGATCTGTTTCCAGAGCCCGGCGCTCACAGACGCGCGCACGCACACAAACACCTCACTGCGGGCTTTCGCTCCTGTAATTTTATATATATATATTTCTTGACAGGCAAATTCTTTGTAGGCTACTTTAGAAGCAACGCACAAGTCCTGATTCAACATTTTTGTTTTGAATGGCTGCTGTCAACACAAATCCCTGGCAGAGACTGCGACGCGGGCTGATTGCTCAGCAAGTATTTTGATAAGTGAGCGGGCTACATGTCTGTAATTACGAAAGAAACTCGTAAATCTCTTTGATATTGTTCACACAGATGTGGCGTGAAGTGAGGGGAAAAAAAGCCGTAAAATGTGTTAAAAGCATAATTAATGTCATTGTTGTCAGGGATGATTTGATTTAAGCCTCTCTGTGACTTCAGTTTTGGTGAGGGCCAGTCTCTTTATGGCACTGGGTGAATCCAGGGGTGCTGACCTGGGTTGGAGGAAGCTATGTGTTAATAGCCAGGCAGGGGCAAAGGGGTGCCAGGCAAGGGATGTTCATCTGCCAGCCTTTGTCCCCTGCGTGGGGGGTAAGGAGCATCTGGAGGCTGCTCCATATGAGCCAAAAGCAGCCCCTTCTCCGTGCCATGGGCCGGGAGAGCGGGCAGGGCCACGCCGGCCCCGAGGCTGCAGCAGCAGGGCTCTGCTGTCCCGCTGCAGTGACCTTGCCGGGCAAGGGGGTGCTGGTCACCTGTTGCTGTTGGCAGCCGGGTCTGGGCACTGGGCAGAGCAGGGACTGCGGTTCCCCAAGTCTGGAGAGAGCCGCTTGCTTGGGCCTTGATGAGTAGGGGGCCCGGGGCCCTGCAGGGCTGCAAACACGGCCCGGAGAAGCTCCACGTGCCTCCACCTGCTAGGGCAGCGATGTGGGAGCAGGGCTGTGGCCGTCATGCTAATACCAGCTGGCACGTTGAGGCCCGCGCTGACTTTGAGCAGCAATGCTGTGTGACAGGTCTCGAGGCATGCCGAGGAGGCTGAAAGAGACCTAGTGGGCTCGGGAAGTTTTGCCAGGGAGCTGCCAGGGATGCACGAGAGCACGGCTCCATCTCAGCACCCTTCCTGCGGGCAACTGGGGGAGGCTTTCTGGAGGGTCGGGGAGGCGAACAGGGTCCTGAGCTGCAGACAACGTCTGGCCTGGGAGCTTCATTGTCCCCAGGGTTGTTGGCTTGGAGGAGGGCTGCAGAATTGGGCCCTGAGGGAGGCTGGAGGGACCAGAGCCCCCCACAGCCGCTGCGAGCTTGTGTGCTGGGACGAGGACTTGGGAGCTGGGCTGGGCAAGGGCGGGGGGAGCAGGTGAGAGCATTGATTAGCATGTGGGGAGGTGTTGGCCCGAGCGGGGGTCTGAGCAGGTCTCTGCAAGGCTGTAGCATGCTCAGAAGGAAGGAGGAATGATTCGGAGCCTGACCGGTATGGACAGCGTGTCCCCAAACTCGTGGGTGGCAGGAGCGGAGGCTGTGCTGGCAAAGCTGGGGCCACGCTCTGCTCTGCGATGCCCAGGCTGCCATGCTCGCTTCCTCGGGGACAGAGGGGCCTCTTGGGCACCCCGCGAGCCTTAACCCTGTCCTTTAGTTGGATCCAAGCCTTTCGTGTCTGACAACAGGCAGCCGGAGCTGGCACCCAAGCCCCAGCCCCGAGTCCTCTCCAGAATTGGAGCAGCCGCTGTACTGAGTGCAGGGCCACACAGCTGCCATTTCCCTGGTGACCTTTGCTGCGTGGTTAGGCGGCCAGAGGCGCTCAGCGTTCGTCCAGCAAACCCCAGAGCCTTCCTGGCATCAGGGCTACCAAGCTGAGTGGCGGTAAAGCAGTGAGCCCTCATACCCAGGCCTCAGCAACTGGCTTGGCATAAGCTTTCCCAGGCAGAGCGCCTCGATTCACAGCCAACTCAGGTTGGGTTTGCCCCTTTTAAAGCCCCGCCTGGGTGGAAGCCAGCGATGCCGTGGGCAGGGGCCGGTCCCACTGCCCACGGTGAGGCCAGCAGCGGCTGTTGCTGCGAGACAGGGCCACATCGCAGTCCTGATCCTGCATCGGGGCTCCATGCCCCAGGAGGCAAATGCACTCCTCTGCTCTGCCAGCTGCTCCCCTTCTCTGTTAGGAACCTCCCCGTAGCACCACGGCACTTGTCCCTGGCTCTGATCAGCGCCACACATCCCACTGCACCCCGCAGCCTGAGCCCAGCATCACCGCGCCGTATGTCTTCATTGGTGGCACGGTGTGGGGAGGGCATTTTCCTGCTTGAAATGGCTCCTGGGTTTTCCTGGCAAACACGGCTGAGCAGCTGGAGCAGAGCCCAGCCTACCCCTAGCGCCATGGCCGGAGCGGCTCAGCTGCCCCTTGACACCGCTGCTCACTTCCGAGCTCTCGCACGGCAGGCGAAATGGTGTGCAATGGTGCCAGCTAGCGGCAGAAACTGAAACGGGTGATTTCATGAAGAAGCCAGGGCAAGGTTGGCTGGGTTTTGTGCTTTGCTTGTGTTAAGGAAGGTGTCTTGAAGTTAAGTTTTAAACTTTCAAGAATGGAAAAGACCAGGGCGTCGGGGGCCTTGAGAGGTTCGACCCTCCCGAGAGCAGCCTCAGTTAGTCTTTAACTGAGCAGCTTGTGCCCAAGGAGGTTGGTGATTGCCAGGTGAAGCCAACACCATCCTAATTTACGCTTTGCTTTTTTAGGACCTGGCTTTACAAGCAAGGCCCTCCCGGCGGGCAGCGGGAGTGGTCGCTGATCAGGGCATCGCTGGCTCCCATCGAGGTGAGGCTTCAAGAAGGGCCAAGTCCCAACTGGGTTAGAGACCAGCTGAGACTGCCTGGGACTGGGTGCTGTGTACCTGGCCAGTCGCTGAGGGCTGGGCGTGAGGGATCAGCGCTTTACCACCGTTCAGCTTGGTATCCATCACATTGTGCAGGGGGTCAAGTGGCAAAGACCACCAGGCAAACTGCAGCTCCCTGGATGGCCCAGGGCCCAGTGCAGTGGCTGCTCGAGCCTTGGAAAGGTCTCAGGGTGGTGGCTTGGGTGCTTGTTCTGCATGGCTCGTGCTCCGATCCACTGAAGGCCAGGCTCCCCCGAATGTGCCCGACCCTGCTGGAGCCATCCCGGGAGGCTGAATGCGGTCCTGATATTTCTAGGGCGGCACTTTCCTGCGAGGCCGAATCTGGAGCCTTGGGGTTGCCTTTTTCATACGACTTGGCTGTTTCTCCCTGAGCAATTGGACCCAGAGATTACACTAAAATGTCGCCTCTCTTGTGGTCCTGGCAGAAGGGGATGGGAAGCTGTTCTTTTTTAAGCTCAGGCCCAAAAATAT